AAAAAAAAAAAAAAAAAAAAAAAACGGGGCAAGCGGAGGGTTTGAGAAGCCCGCAAAGGGCCCCGGGGGGGGGGGGGACTTTTTTCTTTTAATTTACCTCTTCAAAATCTTGGTGCGTCTTATACTCCGGTGCGTCTTATAGTCCGAAAAATACGATATTTGGATCCCACCACTGGATTGACACAGCCGTACTTTTATTGCCAGATGATGATTATTATTTTTGGACGTTCCCGCAGAGCTGAATCACAGCAACTTGAAAGATGGCGCCAGCGACACCAGCCTCAGCAGCAATGCCAGTCTGCCCAGTGTCCAAAGCTGCCAACGACAGCGGGAGAGAAGAGTTGCCAGTTGGGCTGTTTCCTTTGAGCGGCTTCTTCAGGATCCACTTGGTATTCGATATTTTTCTGTAAGCAACGGAGCAACGGCTCAGCTGCGGTTTTGGGGTTGGCGTTATCGCAAACGGAGTGCGTGCTGAACAAACAGATTAGCAGAGTTGGGAGGGATCTTGCAGGTCATCTAGCCCAACCCAATGCCCAAGCAGGAGGCCCTACCTCTGCCCCTACCTGGGATCGAACTCACAACCTCTGGATTGTGAGGCGAGAGTTCCACCTCTAGGCCAATGTCTAACCCTAATCCTGGTGGTGTCTAAGAGGGCATGGCCAGCCTGGAATATCCCGGACAATCCCCCCTAGGCTGGTCTTCTCTGACCTCGGCAAACATGGCAAGGTGGAATGGGAATCGCAGGCCTTAGGGAAGGTTTAAGACTTCCTTGGAAGGAAGGAGAGAAGAGGTGCTCTGCCCAGGTGCTCATGACCTTGGTTGGAAGAAATGCCATCTGTAGATGTCTTTGGAGCTTCTCCATCATCCAGGTCATGGTTGCCCCAAAGGTGCTTTTTCAAGAGGCAACTGGACTTTCTGGTTTTTCTTTGAAGATATTTTGCTTCTCATCCAAGAAACAGCGCTTCTTTTTTTCCTCCTCCTCCTCCTCCTCCTCCTCCTCTTTTTCTTCTTCTTACACCTTCCTCCTCTTCTTCTTCTTCCTCTTCTTCTTCCTCCTCTTCCACCTGCTCTTTTTTCCCTCTTTTTCCTCCTCCTCTTCCTCCTCCTCTTCTTTTCTTCTTCCTCCTCCTCTTTTTCAAACCGCTGAACCGCCGACCTTTCTGATCGACAAGCTCAATATCTTAGCCACTGAGCCACCGTCTCCCTGTTCCTTCTCTATAGCTGGGCTTAATTCAGCCACCGTCGCAGCTCAATTCACCTTTGAGCCCCACCAGCCATCCCCCCCCCCAACCCAAGATAGACTTTGAAAGAGATACAAGAGGGTCCCTTGTCTGGAAGATGCTTCAGGGTTTGAGACCTGGTGGGCTTTTGGAAGGTCCTTGGGACGTTTCCCCTCAGCGTGGTTTTTAATTCCTCTTTCCCACCTAGGATTTTTTACGGAAGGAATTTAGTGAAGAAAACATACTGTTTTGGCAGGCCTGCGAATATTTTAACCACATACCTGCTCACGACAAAAATGAGGTACGTCCATACGGTCAAATGCCTTTTCCCCCCTCTTTTTTCTGTTCATTTTGAAACAATAAATTCTGGCCGTTCAAACACTTTTGGAAAAAGTCCGAGGTGGGGAGGGGGAGAAGCAGGGAGGAGAAAGGAGCCACACGCACCCGGGGGAAGGAGAAGATAGCTAATCCTCGACTTGCAACAGCCCATTTAGTGACGGTTCAAATTTACCACGCCAGTGTGACCCGTGATAATTTTTCACACGACTTTCGTGGCATCCCCATGATCATAATTCAGATGCTTGGCAATGGTCTCGTATTTAGGCAGTCTTGGGGGGGGGTCACATGATGCCCTTTGCGACCGCCTGAACCAGGGAAGCCATGGAAGCCAATGGAAAATATGGTCATAGGTCCCTTCCCCCCCCCCCAGTGCTGTTGTGGCGGTCACTAAATGAATGTTGTAAGTCGAGGTCGGCCTGTATCACGGCTGCCATAATTCCTGCGTAAAAGGTAAAGGTTCCCCTCCTTGCACATCTGTGCTAGTCGTTCCTGACTCTAGGGGGCAGTGCTCATCTCCGTTTCAAAGCCGAAGAGCCAGCGCTGTCCAAAGACATCTCCGGGGTCATGTGACCGGTGCGACTCGACGCCGAAGGCTCACGGAACGTTGTTACTTCTCTTAATTCCTACACGCTTCCCTTTTTTAACGTCCTTTCTTCTTGCTTCGCAGCTTTCATTCCGAGCGCAGGAGATCTTTAATAAATATTTATGCAGCAAAGCTACGACTCCGGTCAATATCGACAGCCAAGTCCAGCTGGCG